ACTATCTGCTGGGATATGATATTTCGCTGCTGGATCAAAATTCCTTTCAAATCTGGGTACAGGTGGAACAATGCCTTGATATTGCAATTTTAATTCCCACCAATGCGCTGTCATATCTTCGACGCCGTCACTAAATACACGCCATCTCCACTTTTGGAAAAGTAAATATGTTTATGATTTAATTATTTCATGGTTTAATTTCCAATTTTATATTTTTATATCTTCAAGAATTATTTTATAAATGAATAAGTAATAATAAAAACATGTCTATCATATACGAAATTATGTATTAATTATTATTAATTATTTATTTAATTGTTTATTTATTACTTACCCGATCAACTATATAAGCAAACGGCATATAAGCCACTTTGCGAAGTGCCATTAACATCAGAAAATTTATGCTACTATCATAATCGTCTGTTAAATTATTGTGCAGCCCAATTTTATGTAAATGTTGACGAGTAAAAATGGATAAACCAATGGCATCACTAACAGCTTCATGAAATCCTAATTATAAAATTGTTGATAATAGATAATAGAATATAATTTTATGAAATATGTAAAATAGGTAATACCTGGAATTGCTTCGTTTCGGAATAGCAATGGATGATCCTTGTATTGTAAATAATATTGCAAATGGGCCATTTCATAATGGGTAGATAATAAATCTTCCATTGTGACTCTAGTACACTGTTTTATCCTACAATTATGTAATAGAATGCAATTTGAAGTACTTTGCCATTTGATATAATACAAAGAAAGAAATATTAAAATAAAATAAGAATTTAAAAATTTAATTTTTTTTGCTATGTGACAAAAATATTAAAAATAACCACCTGTAATCAATTCTATTACAAAAATCCCACGTACTAGGAGTGCACTTAATTTCTCTATCAATAGGTTTTTCTAATATGGAAAATTTCCAGAATTCCGGTGGCATCGGTTTCATTCCGAGCGAAGTAAAAAATTCTTCCGCTATTTGAAACATCCTTTTAATATTACAAAAACATTCTTTTAGAAAATTATTTATATTTTATAAATTTACATATTTATGAAATTTTTGTATAATTTGAAACATACCTTATTGGAGTAATACCTTGAATCATCATATCCAAAGTTACATCGAGCTTTCGACTTGCAGGAAATGGTTGCACTAACTCGAACAAACCTTCCCAATTTTGAGACCACATATCTCCTAAAACATGTGCCGGTAAAGGTCCGTCCTCATGTATTCTATCACCGTATCTTTCAATTAGTTTTGATCGCACATAAGTAAAAAGATTTTTATAGAGTGGAGTTACGGCTGACATTATCTCCGCCATATTTTGCTGGAAATATTCATCTTCAAATAACTCTCTCATCTGATCGCCAGCATCAGCAAAACCTTCCAAGAAATACTTTTTTATTATTAATTCTTTAAATATGTATTTTTATTGATATACTTTTAATAAATATTTTTATGCAGCAGAATAAAAATATTTAGGATCAAAGCTTTTCATACCATTCAATTTAGCTGCTCGATTTGCCAATTGAACATATCTCAAGTATTTATTTTGTAATTGTGGACCAATTACTTCATGCCAAGCATGCCAATAATGCAATAATTCGTCGTAATCTTTTGATGTTGCCATTATTTTATTTAGATCTAAAAATAATTTACTTCTGAATAAAAGTGTATTATATACATTTATTTCTTTTATGTGCTATGTAATAAATTAAATTGATTGACTAACCATAATCTAAACTCAAATTACATTCGCCATCAATTTGTTTGTACGAACATACTCTGGCTTTAACATAAATCTCTTTCATCTCTGCTATCAAACGATGTATCTGTGAATTGGATACAATTGTACATAAATAAAAACAGTGATAGATAGAATCACAGATCATAATCATTTAACAGCATTTATTTTTTGATATTTAATAATAGTAATTGATCAAACAATTGCAATTACATGATGAGTAAAGAATTAAAAATTAATGTTATTTTCACTGAGATATTTATCTACCTCATTAAATTTATCATCAGTCAGGGAACTTCGACCTTTCGTAGCGATCATTTTAAGTTCCCTTCTTGCCAAAGGATCTGGTATTCGACTCCAAGCAAAAGTAACTGCTTTCCGCCAAGAAGCTCTTTCAAATTTTAATTTTAATGTTTGTTCGTCTACCTAATGAGACGTTAGATAAGATCAAATGTCATATATAAAAGAATTCATAAAGCAAATCATTTTTATATCGTTTGTATTAATTAAAAAAGTTTTTACACCATTTTCTGATAGTTTGCATCAGTAACGTTTGTCGCAAAATTCCATTGGGCTATCATCACTCTCGTACACATTAACGAAGCTGCACTATCATATTCTCTAAGGAATATAAGAGCATCTCCTAAATTTACGTTGAGGCCCTTTAAATGACATAAAAAAGAAAGAATATTTCAATACTAGTTTATTATAATTATTATTAGTAGCATCAAATAATCGAACAAAGTTGTATTTTATTTGAAAAAAGAAATTAAGACAGTTAAATAAATAAAGCTAAAAATCTACTGTATTAAACATATAATACAATGATAATTTCGAATATACATATAAGTTAACTGATATATTAGGTGTAGTAAAAAGAAATCCATTATTTTTGCATGAAATTGAATGGAAAAATAATGGATTTTTTTTTACTACACCTAATATTTCAGAAAATAAGCTATAATTTCCGAAGTATGAACAATCGGAAATTTAACTTTGACAATTAAAATAATGATAGTAAATTGATTCACAGTCTTACCTCCAAATATTTTCCATAAGTCTCTCCATATAACACAATAACAAAAAAAACAATAATATTTCGAATTCCTATTGTCATTATTCTCTGTAGTAAATTTATCGTTGCATCAGTAATTGACATGACAAATCTCTTTGCATATATTTTAAGATGTTTTTCATTCTCAACAAAAATCTTATAGTTTATACGTTTATACAGTATAGTTATAGTTTACTACAGTATAAATATACAAATAAGCACAATAATGACTAAAAGAACAATTATATATTATATTATTTATATTTAGAGTTTTTTATTGCGCCAATATTCTGATATCAATTGTTTCACATTTAAATTACTACATAACAGAAGAATAATATTTCTCGTTAATGTTTGTGTAAGTTGCATAATACAAAAGTTTACGCCGTTTCCAACACAAACTAAACCATAATTTAAATCAAACTCAGATAACGTCATGTATCAAAAATTAAAAAAAAATTGAATTATTATAAGCGACATCCTACTGTATAAACACAATGTTCCTTAAATTTATAGACTTTAGCACAACAATCAGTCAGTCGTTCGACAACTGAATTAAAGAGCTAAGGCTCGATGCTGTCGTCGCGGTAAAACTGAATCGTGGTAGAAAGAGAGATGGGCTTTTCCGGGACGGGATATTCCATAAGCAAAAAGAGGAAGGGACAGGCACTATCGGTGCGTGAAGCGTAACTGCCTAACGCATCGTAGCACACGCCAAAATCTTTCTACATCGCTTTAACTTTATAATTACGTCATTATATATGTGTCACAATAACTAATAGTAAAAAGTTTTGTTTGATGTTAACTTGAATCTTGTATCTCTCTCTACAGAAAATTTATTAAAACATATTCAAACAAAAATTAAAACAAAAAGTACAACATAATAAAATTAATTAATAAAAATGATTTCTTATATACATATACGTATATAAATAAATATGTATGTATTTATTAAAATTAGATAAATTGTTCAATAAAATGTATTAGAAATAATTGGATATGTATATATCCTATGCTTGTATCATATTGCTGAATAAAAACCGTTTTTTATAATAAAAACCGAAACATACACATTTTTAAAATTTTATTTAAAACTTAAATATATAAATATATATATATATATATTCGGATAGCTAAATATAACTTCAATTATTAAATATATTTACAATACACTTTTAAATCGATTAAATAATATTAAAAGATATACTGCGATTTCTTAAATGTAAGTTTGTGACAAGACTAACTCACTGCTACACTACACTGCTCTCAACTATTCAGAGTATTTTCTACAACGGTATACTTAAAATACTTAAATCTATTTTTTACGGTAAAAAAATAAAGAGAGACATTACATTGTATCTTCTTGATTTCATGTAATTGTGTCTACTATTTTATGCGATTTAGATTATCAATACAGTATAGCGAATAAATATTTTGACTTTCTTAAAAACAGAAAAAAATTCTGAGAACAAAGATTAGCAATACTATTTCTTATAATTTGTTAAATAACATAAAACATTATTTAAATTTATTAAATATTTCCTTAACAATTACAAAAATCTCTTACTATGCATATTAAAATGCATTTTATTTCCGAGACTTAAATGTTAATCGTTGAATTTCTCGCTCTCTACTTAGTCGCTTATGGATTCTTTGTAATTCCTGTAGCTTCATACGCAATTTAATAGAATCTACAATATTCGGAATCTGCATATACAATATTTTTTTATAATTAATAAGATAATAAATAATTACAAATATTCTTTTATTTTTTCAAGTCTTATAATCTTTTGTATAAAAAATTAAATATTGTTCTAAAAGAAATTTTCATAAAAATATATATATTAAAATTTAATATATCAAGTTACAAACAATAAAAACAAATGTTACCTCAAAGTTATTTATTAATTCCGTTATCGATTTAAGTTGTTTTTCCTCTTTATCTATTTCAATTTTTGTAGCAATTTGTTTTGATTGCAATTTTACAATCTCCTGTTTTTTAGAAACAATTTTGTTTTTCACTTGATTCATAATTAACATCAGACCATCCACTTTTTTCTTATGTTTGCTTAATGTAATGTTATAACGGCCTATAATAAATTCAACTTCATGATTTAATTTATTTACAAAAAAATCAAAAGTCTCTTACTCGTGAATCTATCTCTTACCCGCGAATCTCTTCATTCCAAGCAAATACTGATTTTTCTCGTCGATTTTTTGTACGCAAATTTGATTTTCTATCTTCAATTGTTCGAAGTCTATGACGCGTAAAGCCTCGCCCAGTTCTTCTCTATGCCTTAGCTGCAACTTTACTTTTCTTATCTGACACTTTATGGTAGTCATCTTCAATCTGATTTGTTCTGTTATTATGTCGACTACTTTCAAGGAATCTTCTATAAATCTACATAATAAATTTAGGTCTTTTATGTCTTTATATAATCTATCTATAATTATTAAGGAATTAATATATAACTGTGAGATGTTTATCATAACACCTGATAAATTTTTCAGCCGGTATTTTCCCGGTAATGCTATCTATGCCTTTCTGTACAACATTTTCTTCAAATTCTTCTCTATTCTTAAAAATTTCACAAATGCTGATCTGATTTTCTTCTATTCGTGCTCGCAAATATATCTTTTTCTTTATAGATATTTGTTCGATTTTTTTTAGTTTTTTCTGTAATTCTCGGATTTCGATGTTTACCATTTCGATACGTTGTGTATATGTAATTCTACGGTTCAGCAAGAAATGTAATTGTAATTGTAACCGATGAAACTGTAGTAGAAGTTATAATGTCTAGTGGACGGACTTTGATCCTCCACTTGGTATTCTGACTGTTAAAAGACTCGGCGTGACGTGTCGACTTGGCGTGACGCTGGCGATGCTCGCTGAATCTTTGTCGCGAACATTCACAAGACTTCCGCTTGCGCTTATAACGGGTGATGTGCGACTGTGTTGAGGTGCGAGTTTTTGTACGCGTTTAGCGCTTTCTAAGATTTGCGCTATTGCTAGACAAGATATATTAAAAGGTAAAGTTAATATCAATATATCTGCGAAAAGTTCAATCTAAAATGGGAATGTTGGAATTTCAGAAAAACTTGAAATATACATGAATTAAATAAAAAAATTTACTTTGAATACTTTCAGGATTTCGACGCACAAGATACCGTTCAAAAATGTCATTTTCTAACCTCAGGAATAGATTCGAATAAATAACATTTTCAAGTACTTGTTGTAATTCCGTTTCCGTCATATCTAGATCAATAAAATTTTTCGTGATTTTTAAGATATAATTAAATTATATAGATTTCTTTATACCTTCATAATAACAGAATTCATCTTGCTTAGGAGTTAAAACTAAAGATCCGATACTAAAGATTCTTGTATCTTGTTGTCGTGACATGTTTAGTCTTTCACGTTTAATCTTTAGATAACATAATCTTTTTAGATCATTTAAAATTTGACATTTTATATTGTAACTTCCTAAATTTACATAATACACATATAAAATTACATAATACAAATATATATTTAAACAATTCTACTTATGTCATAGTTTTTATGTCACGCAAACAAAAATATAAATTCCAGCTATCTTCAAGTATTACTTTTTAATAATAAAATATATTTTTGAGTAAATTAAAACAAGTATATTTATAGTGTTGCATTTACTGCAAATTATGCAAATTTATTTTATAGTTTAAAAAACGTACACAAATTATATGGCACACATTTTTGATAGTGCTAATATTAAATTTAAATATTACAAGAATAACATTTTTTTAATACTGTGTTTCACATTTATATAGTTATTTAATGATGCACATAAATTATAATTATCGATAATATTCATCTACTTATCGATTAATATCAAACACCAAAAATTCAATTAGAAAAGTTAAGACTCATATCTAAGACTCTTCTACTAAAACTTCTTGTTGTATTTCAATGTCATTGATGTATAAAACGTACGCTATACCGATTTCTTTTTGTTCCGAACTGTAAGATCTAATAGCGGCCGGAAAATCCCCAACGGAGAAAAGAATTTCTGCACCGCCGTCCATAAATTCATTCTATATACAAATTGTTATTTAATTTATATTAATTTTAATATTTAAATAATTTTTCATATTAAGCAACATTTGCTAAATATTAAATACATAAAAGTATAATGATGGATATTTCTATTCTTATTATTATTATTACCTCAACTTCCACTTCTTGTCCATTCACCCAAACGCTGTGAGCGTGTTTATCTGCAATTGTTATAAAATAGAAATGTTTCTATGTACTATATATTAATTGTTTTGATGAATTACCTAATACAACTCTGTATTCTTCGTTCCCAACTTTGGCCAACCAAGTTTCTAGTATTTTTGATTGCGATTGAACAAATTGCTTGTAGCTTTTTCCATTCACCCACAACGAATAAGAATATTTCAGACCTATATAATCGTTATAACGATATAATACATTTATCGTCGCAAGGATAAAATAATAATAAGGCTTTACCTGGCATTGGATCGACTCTGATTATAAATTTGATATTATTAAACATAAAGACTTCATCACCGACTAGACGAAACATCCAATCTCTATGAACTATATTATTGCCATCGATTTTTACTATACGCCGGCCTGTTGCTGTTCCATGTTCAAATTCTACCACATGATTCCCGTCACTCAAAGGAACGGTCCATTTGGCAGTAGGTTCGTTTGCTGAAGTTTCCAGATTATGAAGACTTCTAAATAGACGTTAAAATAAACGCTATATAGCATTTAAAAATCAATAATGATAAAATACTATATAATGCAATATATTATAAATACTGCATATACATATAAAAAGGTTATACGTAGATGCTGATATGATGTAAATTAATGCTAAATGTAAAGTACTATTACAAACAGCATTTGTAGGTAGCAATCAATATACCATTTTCGACAATAATTACAGGAAACAATATTAGAGACTGTGTAATAAAGTTAGAATAATGATTAGAATGTGTAATAGACTTAGAATAATAATTAGAATGTGCAGAATTAGGAAAGTTACTTTATAAAAGTAACTTGTTGCCGTTATACGTTGCTAATTAAAAAAATAATTTGTTACCTTTATCATTATTTAAAATTTGACGAATCATTATAATTTCATTATTTTTTCATCAAATTTTGATAACTTTTTTTAGTGTGACAATCATTTATCTATGTCACTAATTGATCGAACTTAAGATCTATAGTGCTTATGGCTAACATTACAAATAACACGTTATTTCAACAACTCTAAAAATATGTATATATATATATGTATATATATATATGTGTATATAT